CCTAGATAGGTATAGAATGGTTTAGCTAATTATCTTTAATAATAGTCCTGCTACTTTTGTCAGTGTGTGTGAGTGTGTCCGTGTTTGTTAACGTTTATACGCAAAACCGGTCCTAAACTAGAATTATCAAAAGGCTAATGTCAGGCTTTTGTCATCAAGGCTTAATGACCCAAAAGAAAACCTTGACCGTAACTGCGTAAGTCCATAAGCAAGTATGGTTGAGATAATGAGTTGTAGGCTTGTAAGCATGTAAGTCAAGTCACCATACTCCTTGTCCTAACCTCTCAGTCCAAGGTCATTAACGTTAAACCACCAAAGCAAAGGCATGACTAGGCCCCGTAATCTGTCTAGTCTGGTTTGCTTGAATAGCTTAATGTAATATGCTGGACGATGGTGAGTGAAGCTAGAATGATCAATGAGCAGACAAGTTGAATCGCCTTCTTTTGGATGCTGGCTCAACACCCTCACACTACTTCAATCCAGCAATCCAGCATAAGTAGTTCCTACTCTACTTTATATCATCGCTCCTCACATTAAAAGAATTTCCTATTCCGACATTAGCCTTTTGATCATTCTAGTATAGGACCAGTTTTGCGTATAAACGTTAACATACATAGACACACGCACACACACTTCGACAAAAGTAGCAGGACTAGTATTAAAAATAATTACAAAATCATTCTATACCCATTTAGGTTTCTTAATTTTGAAAAATTTATTTTGCCTAATTGAGTCTAAATATAATTAAGGATAGAGCCAAATAGTCTCCTTGCCCTAGTGTTAACCTATAAGAATGAGTTCTAGCTCGTTTGATAGACGAAAGCTCAGTTCGTTTTCACCCGAAACGAGAGAGGAGATCTCGTGGACTGCGTCAACCTGAACGTCGTATATAAGCCAAACGGCTGCAGTACAGTGGGATTCAGCCGTCCTCTTTTGATATTTAAGAAATTGCATATAGATAATAATCTTATAGTCAATAATTTCCTTATGCTCGATAATACACAGATCATCTACAGCAATATTTTATGGACAGTGTATGTGATGTGTGGCACGTTAATTTCAGTATATATAGTGAAGGTGGTTAAACTTTAGGGAAAATATCAGGTTTTATGCACTTTTATATGTCCATGTGATGCCTGATAATCGGTTTAACGAGGAACCTATATTCATCTAAATTTGCTTTTGAAAGTATCAGTAAATTTTCAATAAGTTTGTGTGCGGGGATGAAGGAGTTATAGATTAATTTGCCCTCATTTATCTAAGTGTTTCTCTGGCTTTCATTTATTTTTTCTTTCTTCCAAAAGGCAGTCTCATCCAAGATGGAATGCATTTTGAACGTCGCATAAGTCTTAGAAATGATATGACCTGGGCAATGCAGAGTATAATCTCAAAAAATAATTTGCACGAATGGTCTTAGGTCATAGACAAAAGGAGAATTTTAAGAAAGGAAAAGCTCATAATATCATTTAGGGAAATTGGATCGCAATAATCACTTTTTAGAATGAAATAGGTTCATCTTTATTTGCTTTACCTTAATACTTAATACAGTGACTTATCTTTAGTTTATATTTTGTTCACGATATAACCCAGAATATGAAAATATTATATTCTCTGAATCTAGGCTTACAACAAAATATAAACAAATTAAAATTTATTTATGTAAGCATTTGATATTAACTAAAATAAGTTAATATAATTTTAAAGATGATTGCAAACGTTTACATCTTAACGCTAAGCCGTCAATAACGCTATTACCCATTCTCGTGCGCGGTTATTTTGTATTTTGTCCTCTCTCCCGGTTTCGTCTCCCACATGGTATGCTACTTTATCACCTAATTACTTTCTTTATAGGCTGACCAGCTAACAGAAGAGCAGATCGCAGAATTTAAAGAAGCTTTTTCTCTCTTCGACAAAGATGGTGATGGAACTATCACAACCAAGGAGTTGGGAACGGTCATGCGATCTCTTGGTCAGAATCCCACTGAAGCAGAACTTCAAGATATGATAAATGAAGTAGATGCAGATGGTATTTAATCTTTGTTTCTTCAATATTTCTAGGCAACGGTACAATTGACTTTCCTGAATTTTTAACAATGATGGCTCGCAAAATGAAGGATACTGACAGCGAGGAAGAGATTAGGGAGGCTTTCCGAGTATTTGACAAAGATGGAAACGGATTTATATCTGCCGCAGAGCTAAGGTAATAACATTCTTATGTTGAAAGGAAAGGCATGTAATGACCAATCTCGGTGAAAAATTGACTGACGAAGAAGTAGACGAAATGATTCGCGAAGCTGATATTGATGGTGACGGACAAGTTAATTACGAAGGTTAGCATAGTTTTTAGATTATGCTTTATTACATTTAAATTGGCTTAATAACCGTATTTTAATGTTTATTGCCTATAAATCTTTCTCCAGAATTCGTCAAGATGATGACTCAAAAATGACCAAGTGGCCATCCATTTCCCTGCGGATAAACTCATTTTATTACGAATTTCATCTTTCCTTATTCGAAACTCTTATCTTTTTGCGTGATTACGTTACATTGTTAAATATTTGATGCCAAAGCATCTCACCTCAGTGTAAATCGCCCTAACACTGACTCAGTCCGATCTTATGATTTAACCACTGTCACTAAATTACACAGATTCTTTTCACCTTTATTTATTTGTCCTGCCTTGCAACTTTTCGGGGCATTTATGATATCTTTACTCTAGTTACGAGATCTTGTGCTACTCAACAAACCTTATTGACGTCGCCTATTGCAACTTACCTTTGCAAACATTCACCAAACCTAGTACTTTCTTTGGCACGTACTGTATAGTTCAAAGGAATGGATCCTTGAACCGCCTTTCATATTCGCCTAATAATAATTGAATTTTCTACTACTGTCTCCAACTCCTCTAGTTTAGCCCTGGTGACAGTAAATTTTCCAATTCACATTACAATCCACGTCCTGTATATCATAATAAATAAAGAGTTAAATACTTGCGATTTTTTGTCTTATATTCTTGTGGTCGTCTATTAAATTAATTGCTTTAGATGGAAAAGTAGTCATTAAATAGGCCGACTTGTCACGTATTACTCGTGGCTTACTACTATTCTCAGATAGTCGTGTCTGGGCGATGATCACCTGTTTTTGCGACAATTATTTCTCCTTACATGTACTTTTTCGTGTGCTCTATCTTTAACTGGACCTTGTGTTA